TTTCGAATAGTTGACTATTCTTCTTCAGGATAACAAAGAAGAACTAATCGAAAGTGCTCAAGTTTTGGTTCTTATTTTAAGTCTACTTTACGAGCTACATGATACTCTGTTCAAAATTAATTTATGATAATTTTGGAACGGGAAGACAAACAGAATGCACTGTGTTTACAAGACGATTAACCTGTAATTGTTGATTTTTGCATGAGGTTTAACTGGTATTTATTTGATTAAATATGTAGGAAGTGTTAGTGGTGTTTTTTTAGATTTGAGGTATTTCGTAAAGAAACTTCTGGCATAACACTGAAGCATAACTTTCTATATTTCTGACAGGAAGTCATCACAGTGTAAGAACTAAAGTAATAACATCTACATCACCATTATATATACAGTTGAGCTGTCACAAAGATAAGACAGAATTTTTATTTGTTTAATAAAGAAAATGTACTTGTATGCACCGTAAAAACGTGTTTGGTGATACTGTAGGGAAGTAGACTACAGCTCTCAAAGAAAGTTAGACTGAGTGTGATCCTGGACTGTGAAGCTGAAGTTCTGTGGTTCATGTTACGTTGTTATGCTTTAGAGTTAAATCCCACTAATCAGTCTGACTGGAGTAGCCAGAGAATCGGTGGTGGGTGGTGTTATCTAACTGTCTTTCCTATAATCTGTCATTAAGTATGGTACCCCCTTGTGAAAAATCCAGCAAACAAACAATAAATAAGGTTCTCCTTTATGAATTGTTACAATAAAAGAATTTTAATGACTTGTGTTTTGTTTTTTAAAGGGTAATCATATAACACAAAGGCAAGAAAATGGTGCCAAAGAAACCATTGAAAACGGCAACTTAACGCTGTACAAGAAGTAAGCTAAATATCTTTCACATTCTTAATATCGTAATGACATAAACCTCCAAATGATAAGTGAGTTTTGATATTACATCAACTATCTTATAAAAATTGATCTGTAATGGTATTATTTAATAGTGTATCTACGTGGTATAAAATGAACTTAATATAAATATTACTGTTTGCTAGTACATTATTGAATTACTATTCTGTTTAATATGAATTCCATCTGTAACACTTCAACAAGACCCAACTTGTGACAAAGCATTAATTGTTTTTCTCTGGTAAATATACAGGGTCATTCAAAAAGAGATACTCTACTGATTAAGCATAATACATACAAGATAATTCGTGTGGGTTATCATAATTTCAATTATAAATATAATTTTGATGGGAATAACCTTAACAGTGTCATAAAAGAAAGGGATCTTGGTGTAATGATTGATTAGTCTCTTAAGCCATCCAAGCAGTGTGCTGTTGTTAGTGGTATGGCCAATAGGATTTTAGGTTGTGTCTGCAGAAATATTGACTTCAAATCCAAAGAGATTATAATTTAATTTTATATGTCACTGGTTAGGCCACATTTGAAATATTGTGTTCAGTCTTAGGCTCCTTACCTCAGGAAGGACATTGAATTGTTGGAAAGGGTTCAGAGAAGGGTTACTAGAATGATGTCTGGGTTGGATAAATTTATTTATTAATAATTTTAGTTTAGTTTGGAAGATGGAACAGCCGAGATGGGCCAGTAAGTTTCATGTTGTCCCAAAATGTTATGATTTCTTTTAGGAAAAATATAATACACAATTTTAACTGACATTGTTACAAACCAAGTTTTTTAACTGACATTTTTACAAACCAAGTTTTTTAACTGACATTTTTACAAACCAAGTTTTTCAACTGACATTGTTACAAACCAAAGTTTTAAACTGACATTGTTACAAACCAAGTTTTTAACTGACATTGTTACAAACCAAGTTTTTTATGGACATTGTTACAAACCAAGTATTCTAACTGACATTGTTACAAACCAAGTATTCTAACTGACATTGTTAAAAGCCAAGTATTCTAACTGACATTGTTAAAAGCCAAGTGTTCTAATTGACATTGTTGCAAGCCAAATGCTCTAACCAACATTGATGCAAACCAACTGCTCTGTTTCAGTAATGTTCATTTATGTCTCTAATGTGTTATATTATTCTGGTAAAAAAAATCAGTGGGGTATGTTTCATTGAATCATCTTTTCTTTCTAACATTTTTTTTTACAGTATTTCTATATTTAGTTGCAAAGAAAATAGTTTGATTGCTTTAAAACTTAGGCTAATGTTTATGTAAGATGAGGATTTGTAGACTCCTAGTAAGTTGTTTTATACTTTTCTTTCCTATTGCGTAAATGTTTCCTGTAGTTTTGAGGTTGGTTTAACACCAGATCCTTCTTGATGTCAGATGGTTATTGAACATGAAGTAGTCAGGCAACAGATTAGGCAGTATACTCTAGAAGTGAAGTGTGTTTGAGTTTCACAGTTTATTTATAACATTCTGGCAGGTTCATTAAAATCATACTAAGGCAATTTTACAGTTTGACAGTAGTGATTACTAGCGAAGTGTTAAGGGTGATCTTCTAATATTATCATTATACTAATAAGGTAATTTTACAGTTTGACAGTAGTGATTACTAGCGAAGTGTTAAGGGTGATCTCCATCTACTGTATGTTATGTGTTACAGAATATCAGTGTCGAGTAGAAATACTGTGAATCAAAGTAATATGGAGAACGGGAGAGCAACGGCAAACAGTGATGTGAACAGTACCAAAAAAACTTTGGGAAATTTGTATAACGGAACTACTCACCAGGGATATGAATTTATGGACGAAGGTTCGAAGCAATTGAAGAAAAGTCACATAAAACATTATGTAAGATAAAATTGATATCTTAGCTTATAGAGAATAATATATATATATATATGGTACATATGTTACTATAAAATAACTTGGAGAACTACAGGGAATTACTAGAACTACGAAGATTACTATCACGACTGATACATGTGCAGTATCTCTTCTTTAGATGCCTAGAAAAAAAAAGAAAATCCAGGTCTACTGGAACTTTTTAAAAGAGACTTCATACATTATGTAAAATTAACACTTGAACAAAGGCCTTCAATTCAGAAAAATTTCAGTAATTTTGGAATTTGTATCTTTCTTATGTAGAATTGGAAATGGAATTACATTTCTAGGCTCTGCAAATACTTTTTGGACACTTCTAAACTCAAACACATCGGTGCTTATGTCAGGATTAGAGTTTAACTTTAATTTTTAACTCACAAAAAAACTATAAATCTGATTTCTGCTAACTTGTGCTTTTGTGATAATATCAAACACATCGGTGCTTACGTCAGGATTAGAGTTTAACTTTAATTTTTAACTCACAAAAAACTATAAATCTGATTTCTGCTAACTTGTGCTTTTGTGATAATATCAAACACATCGGTGCTTACGTCAGGATTAGAGTTTAACTTTAATTTGTAACTCACAAAAAAACTATAAATCTGATTTCTGCTAACTTGTGCTTTTGTGATAATATCTTGTTATTTTTCATATCTTGAAAGAGTAAAGCTAAGAAGGAAAACTACAGATGTAATTTTTTAGCTTTTACTGACTAATCTTCAAAGCTGCTTAATTACCAGACTCCATGTTGCCTGTAGCAGTTCTGTTTTTAGCACCCTTTATTACGATTAAAATATATATGTAACTAATTCCTTACAATACAAAAACACGGAGCTCTTTAGCTATGAAACAATTTACAAAGCACTTGTCAAAATAAGGACATTTCCTTGCCAAAAGATGTAAATAGCAGGTTTTTAAGGCAGTACAACTGAATAAATCAGAGTTTATCATTAACTGTACATTTTAATTGGACGATGAAGATACCATTAAGAAATTTAAAAAAAATCATTTAATTAAAAATGGGTTTTCATTTAAGTTCTACAACCGAAGAAAAACTTGTATACAAGTTTGATAAAGATTTATTAATTCTTCTATAAAGCACAAGAAAACTATTTATCTTTATAATTAACAGGATCTGATTATATCCTTAAACCAGTTTTAATATTTTGTCATGTTGGAGCATACCAGATAGGTTGAAGTCATCACAGCCTGAGTTATCTATGAAGATGCCTAAAAAAATATTGGAAATTAAGTTTCTTTCTGAAACTATATTTTTGTACTTAAAACATTTCAGAGAGATATTGAGTAAAGAGAAATAACAAAATAACAGTTATTAAGAAGAAACAAACTTTAATATAGTTAGGTGAAAATACAGGAAATTTTTTTAGCCTTTTTCATCTGTATTTGGAATAGACTCGAACAGTCTCCTCTGGTTGTGAAGATCTAAAGAAACCTCTCGAGTTGGAAGAAAACCAAGAAGCCGCTGACTTGGGTAAAGAGATCCCTTTAAAGCATACTTGTTAATATATAGAAAATCCCAGGTATTCTGACCCTGTACTTGATAGTTCATGAAATATCTGTTTTAATTTTGAAGCAACTTTTCATATTTTATCCTACAAGACTTTCTGTAACTTCTTGTCAGTATGTCGCCTAATGGTTCGGGTGCTTGAATTGCAGACTTGAATACCCGTCCAACCAAACGTGCTCATCCTTTCAGCCATGGGGACATTACAATGTAATGATCAATCTCACTACTCAATATTAAAAGAGTAGCCCAAGAGCTAGCCGTGGGTGGTGTTGACTAGCTATCTTACCTCTAGTCGATCACTTAAAATTAGAATGGCTACCACAGGTAGCCCTTGAGTAGCTTTGTGCAGAATTAAAAACAAAACAAAACTTATCAGTGTAGTTAACAAAAGAACAACATTGTTTGTATGCTTTGAAATGTTTTTAACAAGGTTTGTACTTCAGTTTGGATAAAACATATCCAGTATTTTCGTGAAACAACAGTGGGTTTTAAACACTAGTGAATGTGATGGTATAACAAGTTATTTTTAATGACAGGATCAAAATACATAATAGTAAACAAGCTAAGTTGAATCGTTACTAACTATATATGTTTTTCTTAGGCCCTGGTAGGAAGTACTTCTGTTCCATGTCTTCGCCAGGGTTGTTGCCTCCTATTTTGGAGGTTGAAAGTGGGTGCAGTCCCATACGCTTGTCTGCATCAAATCGTTCTATCTCACAACAGTCGCTGCATTCTTCTGACAGTAATGAGGATTCCTTTCTGTCCCATGAGATGTTTAAGAACAATGGAGACTTGCCAGCTCATGGTAGCCTCAGTAATCTGTTTGTTAGTTGTTCTGAAGATCCAGAAAGTTCAGGTACTCCCAGACTGGATGAACTGAATGAGGTGAGGGAAGTGTGTTTTACCCAAAGCCCTATTTCCAGTATGAAAAACATTTTGACTCATTCGGGTAACAGGGGTGCGGAACAGTGGGAAGTTCGAACACCCTTTGGTGTAGATGACAGTATGAAATTGAGATTGAACAATGAAAGTTTTCAGGACAGCCAAAGATTGGTGGGGTGGAACTCAAACGATGAGCTAATAACGCCCAGTCAAAATGAGACTGCATTTCATTGCAGATACTCAGACTTCCACGATCAGTGGGATGCGTCTCAAGACAACAACTCCTTGTGTGGAAAATCCAAAGGACTTTCATTGAGTGCCGTATCAAAACCTAGTTTAGTTACAGATGAAAAACATAAGCAGTCTTACGCGTTACCAAAAGTGGCTTTTGTTCAGAAAAAGGAAGATTTACATATTGCTACAAAATCTCAAGAAAGTGACAGAAAATCTGTACCAGTTGAAAAGAAGGTTTCAAGTGAAACACTCTAATCTAATCTCGTTGGTATAAGAAGTGATAAATAAAAAGCTTTTTTAGATTTTAGTAGCTGTTTGCAATATTTACTCTCACTTAGGAGTGAAACAAAGATAAGAAATTCAATGGCAGGTTGATTCTGAAGTCGATTATAAGCTAGTGATTCTCAGTATATTCCACGCTGAGGTTTTGCAGTCGATATAGCGTTTTGCGTACTAAGGTAAATGAGAATAATGTATCTATCGATGCACCATCTTATTAGTTTTTTAATGCTGGCTGAAGGATTGAAACCATGTTTAAAAAAAAAGATGACACCTTCAGAGAAATATTTAATTTACACGAGGTTTTGGCTTGTGCCTCTTTTTCGAGGGTTAAGCATCACAGGTTCCAAAACTGATTTCAAATTATAGTAACTGAAGAGAATATAAGACTACAACGGTATAATAAGAATGGTTCCCAGTGATGCTTGCGAAAAGTATTGTTGAACAAGATAGACTTGGTGATTACAGTAACAAATGTAAATAATTGAATAAAAATAACGTGAAAAATAAATCATGTGTGGAATAATAGTAGTTTTACAGGAGCCAGATGTTGTATCTGTTAACAGAAGGGTGTTTGGATTGAATCAGAAGAGATTCCTGTGGTTCTCGACGACTTTCGAAAAAGGTGTAAGCCAAAATGTCAGGTAAAATAAAAAATGTTCTGGAGTTAGTCACTTCTTGAATGTTAACATATTAATTAAGAAAACTATGGCACTTGAATAATTGGTGAACATATTTTTTCTGTAAAATGTATATTGTAAGCCGAGTTTCCTTCATGGTCAAAAAAATTAGACGAATGGAGGATAGATGTATTTGAATTAATGAGATTTTGTTTTTAGAAGTTTTGTTTAGGCTATTTATATATGTTTCGTGAGTTTGATTGATTGAAATGTGTGTAAAAGATGTCAAGTTTTAATTAATTATGAACAAATCTTTTTTAAGAAGAAATGGACATACTTCTCACATGGTTAAAACTGTTTGGTTTCTCAAAAAAAGTTTCTGATTTTCAAATTTACGTGTAGGTTTTTGTTTACAGGGATGTAAAATTATTCACTGTTTAAGAGTTTTTTTTCAGTTAATATGGGGGATTAATCGGTAGGTATTTTGGTTATGTATGATGTTGAATGTAATGTTATTTTGTGCAGTGTACAGCTACAAGTCTTAGCACTTTCATTGTGTGAGTTTATTATTGTATTTAAAACTGTATTAATACTTCCAACAAGGTTTAGTAAATGGAATATTCTTTAAATATCCTTCTAATTTTGGTCAAAATGTGTATTTATTTGAATTTTTCATGGTTTCACTTTTTTGTGACACAATTTGTTGTTAAGCAAAATTTCAGGCTTCAGTTTCTTTTTCTCTTAAAAATTGGATTGTTCTTTCCGACATATTTTTCATCTATCAGATCAAACTTTATCTCTTTCTTAATAAGTTATTTTTACTTAAACCTTTCTAAATTTTGTATTGTTGCAATCTCAACAACACTAGCTTTGTATATTACCTTAATCTAAATTATAGGCTTAGCTCTAACGACAACATTGAATATTAGGCTTAACAGTCGGCACCAGCTGTTAAGGAAAGTAAATAATGCATTTATTAGTTTTTTAAATAATCTGTACTTGAGCTATTGTTATACACTAAACATGGCTGTTGTCTAGAGCTGTCTTACTAACTTGTCATTGTGGTGGTTTGGTTTTTATGACCAGTAAATTACCTGGCAATTATTTAAGAGCTGGACACACATAAATGTTCCTTGAATTTATTCAGAAGTTTTTGTCTAATGAAACCTGTTATTTATCAAAGCATAAAATGAATACATTTTATGAAACTCAGAAAAAAAAATGTAGAAATACTACTTCAGACAGTTAATGATAAATGACCATTGTAACCTAAACTTAATGACCATTGTTTTAATATTATACTACCAGTATTACAGTCTTCAAAGATTTTGTATATAGAATGTTTTTTATTAAATCATTTTACTTCACAGCCATATTTTATCAGAAGAGAATGTAAATAGTGTGATATGTATTACTTAACGGACCTTCATTGTAGCTGCAACAAATTTACTTAACCGATGAAAAGATTCACTATCTTCAATGCTATTTGATGTTGGCCTTTGATCTAGTTTAATAGTGGGGTTGGGGGGATTGATTTTCAAATAATAACTTTGTTATTTGTTAACTAGTGAAGTAAATGGGAAACCAACTGTTACCCTCTCCGATATAACCTGATGGTGAAGTTTACTTACTTTTTTTTCACATTTTCTGGGATGTTTCTTGAGCCCAGCAGAATTTCTATATTGTTTGTTTTTCCTGTGATTGTAAATACCTTCCTGTTATTACCAACACATTAAACTAATTTATTTGCAAATATGTTATTATTTGCTGTGTGATTGATGGAATGTGATTTTTTTGTATGTATAGAAATGGAACGATTGTAAGGTCTGTAGTGAAGTTTCTAGCTATGCACACACACACACACTGTATGTCATAAAACCCAACGTACTTATTTTGTTCTGTAGAACAGTTGTTTTCAGTTAATAAGTAAAGTTTATATTTAAAAAAACTGTTGATTGGTATATGGAAATCTGTATTTTCTTCTTAACAACTACTAACGAGAAATGATGAGTCAAGGTATAGAACCAAACGTCCCAAGTACAAAGAAAGTTACTTCTTAAATTTGAAAAACAGTTTTTAAATCAGGGGCTTTTGAGTTGATCTTACATGTACAGGTAGTTCCATGTTATTGATCGCTAACATCAGGTGTCAGTCATGCCGTGTTTCATAGAAAAGAACATGAATCAGGTTTGTTAGATTGTACTGTTACATAATCATTCCTGTTACTGTAGTTGATATGAAACAGGTTTCAGTTAGATTGTACTGTTACATAATCATTCCTTTACTGTAGTTGATATGAAACAACATGAAGCAGGTTTCAGTTAGATTGTACTGTTACTGTAGTTGATATGAAACAAAACGAATCAGGTTTCAGTTAGATTGTAATGTTACATAATCATTCCTGTCACTGTAGTTGATATGAAACAACACAAATCAGGTTTCAGTTATTATGTACCTCCAAACTCAAATAGCAGATATTCTGATTGTAATGAGTTTATTGTTTCAAATACATTCTGGCATCAAGAAATAAAGTTAAGTAATTTTCACCAGTGACTGCAAAGAAGATTGTTTTAATTTTTGTGTGTGAATTTATTCAAGTGATAATAAAAATACAAGTTATTTCTAAATGGTCCAAGTCGAGACACTTTAAAACAGCACGACCTGAACAAGTTCTCCATGGCACCATTGTGAAATATAATTAGAGTTATACGGTTTAATATTACACTGTTATAGAGAAGGGTTTATTATCACAGTTTTATAAGACACAATAATTGCAGGTTGTATGATTTATCACATTATTATACTGTTCTGATACATAAGAAATTAAGATTGTTCGATTTCAACTGTATTTATTATTAAGGTTGTTTAATTGATGATGTTATTATCACTGCTGTGAAGTCTGACGTGATATACTTCAGTCATTACAGTGAAAAAATTCATTATTGATTTATGTAATGTGTTCGAAACGGAGAAGTATCGCACGTTAAGATTTTACAACTTGATGCATTAAAGTTTCGGATATATGGTTGTATTTTGTTTTTATGCATCACATCAGTATCCAAGGGGAGGGGGGTTAATGCAAGGTTACCAACTGTGTGCAAATTCCATAAAAAATTTTGTTTTATTGGAATCAGTTTCGGACTTTGTTGCTAGTAATAAGATGTACCATAGATACCAAATTATTGGACTATTTTGACTTGTCAGTTGTGTGTATGTTAAAATTTCGGGTTAGATTTGAAATTAATGTTAGATAGATTTAAGTTTCCTATTACAAAGATAGTTATGATATATACATATATTTGTAAATAATTTTAAGTTTGTCAGTATTTGTTTTTTTTATAAATTAGCATTATAGAAGGTAAAGGCCACGCAGCAAAATGTTTTTTTATTGTTACGTTAATTCCCACCACCATTAAACGTGTATGTTAGTGTGATTGAAATAACGTAACTTAAAGTGCAGCTAGAAATTCCTTTATTTTGTTTAAACACGCACCATTACCACGACCTCAACTTAATAAAAACCCTTACGCGCAAAAGTACCTCATTGAGTTAATCTGTTAACAAAAGAGTGCTTTAGACCACTGGTTTTCAAACATCGTTCCGTGGGATTTCTCAAAAAAGACAAAAACTGACACATAAATTGTAATTTTTTTTTTTGTGCTTTAGTCTCCTATTGTATTTTATAATTACTCTGTACATCTGTGAACTACCACAAAAGTAAACATCTTATGGGACATTACATTATAGAGAATAGCAAATAATATTCACTAATTTTTGGATAGTTTTTGTTTACAGCAGGCAAATGTAATTATTAACTGGTCTACAGACTCGTAAATTTTTTATATATTAAATTAAAATATGTATTGTACACAAAGTTCTTATTCTATGACTCTTATTGAAAATGTATTAAAGTAGTTTTTCCTAATTTTGAATCCTGTTTATATAATATGGTACTAAAACAGAACCTAACTTTTAAAAATCTTTCTGTCCATCAAATACATCTGTATTAACTATACAGGATCACCCCAACTGTTCCTTTTCACCAACTCTTCTGTTCTCAAAAAGTGAACTCGTTTATGAATCTGTACGAGAAACTGGTAATACAAAAAAATATTTTAATGACCTCAAAAATACCAAACAATCACTCCGATCCCACAGACGACGCAATCTGAGCAACGTGATTCCGTACAACTTCATCCAAGATTACATACACATCCTTACAACCTTTAACCGCAGTTTTTAGAACTTTGTTCAGATAATCGACGTGGAGCCTCGATGCCATTTCTAGAAGAACTATCTGTTCGGACTTCGGAAGAACGGCGACGGTCAACTGTGGACCCCCTAAGGATTCTTCCACGAAACTTATATCCACCATTGGTGTATCATTTACGAAACCAGTAGTACAAGCACAAACGTAATCCTTTAGAGGTATTCCAGCATCTACCAGAGCAAGAGTTGCGGCATTGACACACGTACTGTAGTTCCCACCGTCTGCTTGGAGAACCTGGGCAGCAGAAGGAAAACGTTGTTACGAACGTAAGATAATATACACCCGCATCACGTATCTACTGCTCTGTCATTTAACATAGGTTACAGAGAAATACTAACTCAACCCCCCCCCCAATATTAAGGCATATATGCTTAAACTTTTTCTTATTTATGATTTCAGTTGAATATATTCACATCATAAGTGTAATTTCCTTGAATACTATGCGAACTAATATTACATAAGCAGTTATTTACGAGGGAAAGTTTGACTAAGTTGTATAACTCCAAGAAATAGAAATATTTATTTTTTTTCCTCCCTATTTATATTTCAGCTTAACATTTCGTACGAAATCAATAAGTATTGTAAAGTTAACTCCTTCTATATCAGGTTTTTTATTGAACTTCTCGGTAGCCTATACTCATAGATTAATATGTTGTTATATTTGTGTACAAAACGTACTCCATACATAATTGTTACATATCTGTGTTTATTATTTCATTGAAACTAACAGTAAAGGTTAGAAATACTTTTCTCCAGTGTTTACGATACATAATTCAGAACAGAAACAGAATTTTCAGTGCCACTGAGAGAGCACTGATTGTAATACATAACACGCAAAGTGATCTCTGTTTGTTTAGTATTTAAACCTGTCTTCAGATTCAAATTTTCAGAGAAATAAAACATGGACTTCACATCATTTATGCTAGTGGACGAAGTAATATTAATAACCTAATCTTGTCAGTTCTTCGTGTACTTAGAAAGAACTGTTACAAGGATTTCAAGATTCTTTGCAGCATGAATAATGAAGAAGTGAAACTATGAATCTGTATTAACTCTTCACTGACTGAACTTCTTTCGAAAATGATAGTGATCGGCTACGCCAAAAACTAATTATTTCCTGGTGTACTTTGAATTATGTCAACAATTCTAAAAAAAAGCTATGTATTGTAATTAGTTGTTTATTTTCAATTACTCCAATTATTTAAGTAACTATAGTGTTGGTAGTATGACTTCTAATTATTATTCTTGGATTAATTCAAGGTTGTTCAGCTTAAACTGATTATTTTTATTTTACAATAATCGACGCTCAAAGGTAATTGATTAAATTGTGCTACTCTAAATATTATTTTGCATGTAATATTTCCAAAACAGAAAAATGAAGATTTAAATATAATCCAATTCCCAATGTTATCTTTGTTTTATAACTGTAAAGTTTTTAATTATAAAAAAGGTTTTGAGCAAAAGCTAGGTAACCAGAACTAAAAACCAACTGATAAATTTATAATCTCAAGCACGTTAATCAATAAACAAGAAAACTGAAACCTATGATTAGATTTACTTTTAACGGTATATTTGACCATAATCCAAATGATAGCTCAGAATGTTGAGGTTATTCCTAAACCTACATATTAAGGATAACGATGCACAGTAATTGCTAAAAATGTAAAAAACTAATTAACAGAAAAAAAATTTGTGAAAACATTATAACCAATAACCTTAATAAACACTGTTTAGTATTGAACTGTTTTATTCATAAATCCAGTGATTCCATAGTACACCAGTCAGAGTTATCTTTAAGAATGGAGGCAGGGATGGGGAAAAAAGCTCTGGCTTCTTCCAAAACAAATGTGGGGACCCCCTACACACACACCTCATAATAGTAAGGCCATTTCAATTTTTTCTTCTATCAGTGTTATTTTTATTGCAATATCTTCACGAATATAAAAAAAAATAAAACAATTCCAAAACTTTGGTAGTATCTCCTTAAGGATGATTCTTAAATAAGCAATAATTAAAATTGTAGACAATATTACTTTTCAAAACTTTATACCTGTATTAACCCTTTATCATCTCAACCCGGACATTTACGGCAACTATCTTAATGGGTTAATTGGTGTTTTTGCTAGTGTAGACAAGTAACAATTAACTAACATGTTAATTACTTCCACTCTGCAGTCACCGTAATTAGACTCGAGACCTAAGTTGCAAGTGAGTCTTCTACAACAAATGAATGACATCAAGTCCATTTTACTTACTTCGACAAAAATATCTATCTGAGACCTGGGATACAGCTGTGTCATGATGGCTGCCTCAAATGTTTGCTTAAGGTGAAGAGTCATTTCTTGCGACTTCCTGTCTCCTCTAGGTCTCCTTTTCCGTTCTCCTGTGCTGAACGTGGCCATGCTGTACTGACAGTTGATTAAAACTTTATGGTGAAGACCTCTCGATTTACTACCACGCATCTAACCAGAAGAAACAAAACACAGTATATTTTCTTTATGTCCTGTTTTGGTGCAATCAGTTTATAAAGTAATTTAAGTGTGGTTGTGGCAATCATATATCAATTGTTGTCATGGTTAGTAGCATATAAGGTCATCCAAGTCTAATTTAATTAGTATTTTTTCTTTATAACTAGATACTAATTATTAGCTAGTTATATCACACATTTCAGCTGCTAATTTAATGCCATATTCGCAGGTCTTCACAAGGACTATTTCTGTGTTGGTAGTAGCCGGGATTCGATCCTGGGTCTTCTTAATGAAAGCCTGGATGTAGAAGGCATGACTTTCTTTTTACACACGTAGTTGTTAACCTGTTATTTTATTATGATTCAAAATATTTTCCTTCCTTCTAATCTAATAACTGTGGGCTTAATTTACTTACGTACAGTACAAGATATTTTGTGTAGCTATCTTCCTAGAAACATTGCAACTTTAAATGGATGTATTTACCTATTACACAAGCTTTACTTAATACCAGAACTTTTTCACTTGTTTTCTTTAGAGAACAGTCACCATCTGTCTGTGGGCAGCAAAGGGTGATATAGATGTTGGATGTAGTGGGCTTGAGTACCCACATTTTGTTCTTTTATTTTACTCTCTTGTTATTATTTTCTTTACATGCGAGACTTTGTAAACGGAGGTTAAGACTGTTAGTGTATCCTCACTGCTATGTGGGTCCAACTTCTGCAGTCATCTCCAAAAACCAAGACACATTTTAGCTTGTGTCCTGGTGACTTCCTTCCCAGTTTTTATTACAAGCTTGTTTTGTATTATATATATATATAAATATATGTATTTAACTGTCTCGTTGATGAGTCATTAATTTGATCAAAATTAAGATTTAACAATAACGTTTCATGAAACAAACGTAAAATCACCTTTACCAATAGTTGATCAAGATATTTGACACAGGGAGAATCAGTACGACTATACCTCCACTGATCAAGCACTCGAGCACCGAATTATAACACCACACCCCACTTTCCTCAAATGCATCATATTTATTTTACCAATGGTAACAGCATTTACCTTAATTAAAAAACCACTTGCAAGTGTACCAGAACCATAATTTGTTTCAAATTTAACGAGAGAGAAAAAAAGCATTCAAAGCCAATGCATCTTTACTGAGCAGAAGACACAACTTACAAGAGAAGCTTCGTGTAATGGTAACTATAACTACTAATATTAATCAATTACAGTCATTTTTGTTTACTTGCAATGCTACATTAGATGATTACGTGATACAGAGAGAAAATAATATTATAATAAGTCGCAGTACTACTAATTTTGCCTTAGCTCCTAAGACTAACTTTATGTGCCCTAATCGGATGGCTAAGTTAGGCTTATGGCTGCATAATTAGTACTAGTACTAGGTACTGACAGTAGTAGTAGTAATACTAATAAGACTAAAGCTTACCAGTTACCTCGTGTGGTCCGTAAACCGCAGCAAGAACTTTCGTGTTTCCTTGTTCTATATACGCCGAACCATCTGCTTGGGCAAATACACCCATACGACATTCTATTTTACGTAATTCATGAGGTCGTCTTCCGTCTAGTCGAAATCCTTGGTCTGAAAGTAATTCTAAACCCGCCATTCTTAATTTTGAGTTCGCATGTGACGAAAAGCACTGGACCAAGAGTTTTATTGAAATAATTATAGGTAGCGCTGTCACAATACTGCATTTTGTTTTCTGTCTTTTAATTAAAATATCGTTATATCTATAATCAAAATGATAAGAATAAAGTACAGCTGCAGAAACCTCAGTATTTTGTTTCTAGTAGAATGACCCATGATATTTAAACATCAGAATTGAAATTAACGAATCTCCTAATCTGGCAAAGCTATGTTACCGAAACTTTAGCAATTAACTAAACAAGAAGGGCGATAAAGTATTTTCTATTGGATGTATAATTTTTAAGAAGAAAAAATATATCTACAAGGTAGTAGAATCGATTGTAAACATTACTTTTTTTTTTTTAGAAAGGACAAAACTTTTGAACACCTTCCTTCAAGAAATTTTATCTTGATTGCATGATATTTTATCATTTGGTAGAATACATAAGGAGAAGTACGAATACAAACTGATAAAAAGAAAAGAAAAAAACTATAACCCAAGCGCTTATGTTTTGAAGTGTAGGGTTGAAAATTGTCAGCAAGAGACTCTGCTTACAGCACCGCCAATAGGTGGCTTCCCACTGATATTATTATATGTTTATGAATTTTCCATACCTGTTTTGAGATTATTTGATTTTGTTGTTTCGTTTTATAAATTGATATCAACGAACTGGTTGTTAAAGATGAGGGTGCCATCCTAATGAAACTATGCATTTTAATATTTATAAGTAAGAAAAGTCTACTTAATTAAGTATTTTTAATTTTGCTCTAAGTCGGTAGTTTGCCTCTATTCTAGTCGGAATTTAATATTTTTTTTCCTAATTGAAATAGCTGTGGGACACAAGTTTCCTACTTACAATTACTGATAAAAAAAGAGGATTATAGAATGACTAGTTGCAATTAATTGTGACAGACGGCGCGCCAAGAAAGACACCACGACATAACTAGTACTTCAACAATACTGCAGCCACTTAGCAAATAAAAAACTTCACATGCTACATATCCCTATACGTGCAACGCTAAGCCTACTGAACTAATTAAAGGACCAGCAGAAACGGAAGACCTAAGCCGAGGTGCAAACTGCTTATAAATTCATGGTAAGAAATTATAAAAAATCTTGGCAATATTTAAGCGCTAGTAATTTCTGGGGCAATAGTGATCAAAATTAACTGATTGGATATTCTCAGTTAAAACATGACCTACTTAATTTGAACTTTAAATTGAATTTGAAGAATGTTCTTTTGAGTGTGGACATGGATATCGTTTAAAAATTAATTTCAGATTTGAAGATTAATTCATAAAATATATATAAAAATAATCACTGTATACGTTAATTTAATAAATCGTTATTACTGTAAATACAGAAGCAGCAAAGATATACTTAACAGTTGCTTACAAACACACTAAATGCATCTCTGATATAGCCTATAGTACAGGGGTGGCCAACCCACAGCAGGGAGGGAACCAGAATTTCACAACGTACATTAATGAAGAGTCGAATATGCACGGAATTAAAAATGATAATAATAAAGTTGATAATATTAATAACTCCACGACGAAACTGAGGCTCCCAGTAGCGCTACTTTAGTGGTTCCGGACAATCCAAATGCTTTTATGTTATAATATAAATATTGTTGATTTTTCCAAAATGTTCTTATTTTGTATACAATGGAACATCATTTAAACCTTTTAACCACATGTTTTCATATATTTTCTTATATTCCTTAAGTCAAAACATTTTGTTTTAAATTAAAGACATGGTGTAATATGCTTTTATAAGGAGCTGCATGTCAGCTTTTGAAGAGCCGCGGGTTGGCCACCCCTGATATAGTCTATTCCTAATGTTTTAACCTTATCAGTACATCAGATGATCTGATGCAGATTTAAGGCCGAAAAGCTACGCGTTAAACTTTTGAAGAGCCGCGGGTTGGCCACCCCTGATATAGTATATACCTAATGATTTCACCTTATCAGTACATCAGATGATCTGATGCAGATTTAAGGCCGAAATGCTACGCGTTAAACTTATATTTAAGTGAAGTCTTTTAAGTGCTTTTACTGAATTTTAGGCCTCATATAATTTTTTAGTTAATTTTACGTTGGTGTGTTAAGTGAATATCAGCAAATAAATTTATACGGTTAGTTAAATACTTGTTTATTTTAAGGTTAATGTAAGGCTTCCAATAATTTTTATTTTAACTTTCGGATGCTGCTTGTTTTGCTTAGCCACATATATACAAAATTTGTGTAGTGGCATTTCTATTATCTCACAGATAAATCCGGCCTTGTATGTCCTGGTGATTAGGGTGCTCAATTCGTAATCTGCGGGTTCGAATTTCCGCCACACTGAACGTGCTCGCCTTTCAGCCGTGGGGACATTATAATGTGACGGTCAATCTCACTATTCGTTGGCAAAAGACTAACCCAAGAGTTGGCGGTGGGTGATGTTGACTAGCTGCCGTCCCTCTAGTCTATCAATGATAGATTATGGACGGTTACCGCAGATAACCCTCAAGTAGTTTTGCGCGAAATTCAGAACAAACCCAATTATGTTCTTTTTTTTTTCTTTAGTATCTGTTTTATATTCATAAGTTCTAGCAGTATTTTAGTAGCTTTTATTTTCGTAGTTCTAGCGTTTGTCGACACACTAATCAAATAATTATGTTGAAATACTTAAAATGGTAATGAATAAAAACTCTAACCTTATATAGGGTTTTCATTCATTTCTATCAAGACTTCTTGAACCTACGTGTTTTTCTAACATCATAAAATAGTAATGAATATTTTACGGACACAATGCTGTGAAAATGATTGTTTTGTAACTCGGATAGCTAAACCAGACGATATTATCACTAGTGCTGCCACCGGGCGGTGGTTTTCTGCACTGTTCATTGTCAATAAAAACATAACAAAAATAATTCTAAACTTAAAAATAAGTCTATTAATAGATGGCACTAGCGTTTTCTTAACAATTATGCTCGGTTAGATACCACGACAATAATGTAGTGTAGTGTTCTGAATACATGATTACGGGTCAGAAAGTATGCTTTTACCACAAAGAGAAAAAAACAAGAGGGAATCCACAATAAACGCGTCAATTGAAATTATTTTAGGCAGGATTAGAGTAAATAACTCTAATGAGACCTCTTTCTTTTTTCTTTTTATGAGTTTTATTTTTGTGCGCTAGCAATACAAAGCGTGGGGTGCGCGTATACCCGAATCAATTTTATTTCTCATCAGTATTTCTACCAGCCTACCCTCAAATTGAAATTCTTTTTAGGCACGATTAGATTAAATTAATCTAAGAGACCTTCGGCATGTTCAAATACATCAGTCGAAAGGGTTTGACCTCCTGAGCCTAAAACCGTAAATAGATCTCAAATCGGTCGAGGGATGAAGGAGCTATTAAGTAAAAGTTTGTATTAATACTTGAAAAAAAAAAAGTCAGAGCCATTGTATGAGCTGCTATGCGAGGGCTAAAAAAAGATAAAATAATATATATACTGACGTACCACAAGTAGCATTCGATAATATAAAAAGGCTTAACATTTTTAAATACGAAAGAAACTACTGTAGATTTATATATAACTAAGAGGATTTGAAACGCATCTTATTTAATGATTTTCAGAAAAGTAGCATTATATGAGTGGTTGAAACAAGGCATTATCGACTAAATAAATATTGTTACGTCTCCGTTTGTTAATTGATTTTTCC